GCGGGACCACCACGCCGCCGGGCTAAGCTACTGGCCGGCTCCAGCCCTCGCACTTACGCGGCCCTGCTGCGGCCATCTCCCGAGCTCGGCCGAGGAGACGTCGCCGCAGGAGCAGCTCTGAGACAGCTTCTCGAAGAGTGTCTCCCGAAAGATGTCCAGCAAGGACCAGTCATGCTTGTCGGCCGCCCGCCCAGGGCTCTTGGGCAGAGAGAAGAGGGAGCTGTGAGCGCGGGAGGAGCGGGTGCCGGTACCAGGGAGCCGTGGCCGTATAACTGGAGATGTGTCGCCCACCCCTGTCCCCAAGCTGTGCCACCCTCTGGGTCATCCCCACGCGGTCACCTCGCCCTGCCCAGTGCCACGCTTACATAGAAAGCCTGTTCCCGCAGGGACGGCGTGTCAGGCGGGCTCTGGTTGTAGGTGGAGAACCTCTTGTTCACTGTGGAGGCCTTGTTGACAGTGCTGGCTGCCGAGGGCTGGTCGTCCTTGTCGAAGGGGCTGGGGAGGAGAGCGGAGAGGTGAGGGGTGTGTGCCAGCCCAGGGGGGGTCTCGACCTTGCTCTGTGGTGAAGTCCCCAGGACCCCATCCAGTCCAGTGCTATCAGCAACACCGACTGAGATACTCACTTCCAGGTCACCTCCAGGCTGAGTTTGAGGGTTCCCAGGTCATTGATATCCACAGCCACTACCTGAGGCAGAGCTGCAAAGAGGTCCTTGGTCTCGCAGGACACGTTGCCCACCACAACGTGGTTGGCCAAGCTCTTCAGCTCCGTCACCTGGGGAAGGAGAGGGAGGAGAGGATAAGATGAAGCCATGGATTTCACGGATGCTGTGTCCATCCCTGTTGTGTGCCAGGACACCACCACCACCAGACGGCCTCTTCCCACCTTAGTGAGGATGAGGTTTAAGTGAGGTCCTGGTGGGAAGCTCACCCCGTCCCTGCCCCCTTCTGCACTCTACCTTGATGGAGAGGAACTCGGTGACGAGGGGCAAGAAAACCATTTCCTCGCTGTCCCACACCTGCTTGCTGTTCACCTCGATGCGCCCCCGCAGCTTCCACCGCTGCCGTCCGTACTTCATGAAGATCTGGGGACGCAGAGGCATGGGTACGGGGCAGATACCCCACCGGCATGGTGGGTGCTCTCTGTGCATCCCCAGGCATGACCGGGAACCCATGCCACCCAGCACCACCCTGCAACATACCCTCCACGCCAGCGGCCACCTATGCCCCCCAAGCACCCCAAAGGACCACAGGGCAGGAGAAGAGCAGATCCCAACCCACATGGTCCCACCAACCTCATACTGGTCACCAGCACAGAGGCGGGCAAAGCCTGCCAATCCTGCAAGAGAAGGCGGAGAGGCGTCAGGAGGCAACGGGCAGGTGGGCGGCGGGCCGGGGACGGAGTGAGACCCCTTACCTTTCATCCGGACGTGGAACTCGCCCAGCTGGCTCTCCAGCTCGTTCTCCAACAGGCACATGTTCTGCGGACAGACGGACGGACAGCGCCATCAGCAGCTAGCCATGGGACCGAGCACCCTTGCCAGCCCACCCTCGCCAGCTGGCTCACCTCCGTGTACTCCTTGTAGCCCTTGCTGGCCTCGGCCAGGCTCTCACGTGCCTCCCGGCTGCCCGGCGAGCCCGTGCTGTAAGCCTTGACCATGTTGTGGGCTCCGTCGCGGAGGCGCCGCTGGATGCAATAAGCCTCGTAGAGCTCATCTATCTGCAAGGACGGGCCCGAGCCGTGGTGAGGGGCAGGGTGGGCGACAGCACGGCCCTCCCAGCGCTGCCCCGAGGGACCCCCAAAGGTGACCCAGGTCCCCAGCGCTCACCTTGCTCGCGTGAAACTCCAGGCGCCGCAGGAAGCGCTCGATTGACTTCACTTGCTGGAAAAGCAGAAGAGACGGTGTGAGCGTCAGCCCAACCCCTCCGGAGAGGAGCTGCAGGTCGAGATGTGCCCTGCTGTGTGCCCGTGCTGTGCCTGGG